CTGTGACCGTGAATACTTACAAATGTTGCATTTCGGCATGTTGTATTTACACTCACAAATGGCACTGGGACATCACTTTTTAAAAAGTATTGAATGACATTTCAGTTCCACGATATGATACCCATTGCCATCATTGATTTTTAAAAATGCATGTTGAAGCTCTTCTTTGACATTTGAAACTCTTTCTTTTTTGCTAAAGCATATATATTTTTTATACAGTTTGCTGAAAAGTGTTTGTTGGCCTTCTGACAGGAATGGGAATGTATTTGCTAGGAGGTCATACGTCTGCTGGCACCAGCGCGTGGCCTCCGCTTTGCTTATTCTGTGTTCGGCCCCAGTGCGGCTTCCTGTCTGCTGCCGGCACCCGGCCCCACGGACTGCGCAGCGGGCGGCGACCTTGAACCCGGCCCCACGGACTGCGCAGCGGGCGGCGACCTTGAACCCGGCCCCACGGACTGCGCAGTGGGCAGCGACCATGCGCCTCCCGCTGCCGAAGGGTGTGACGGCGTCCCTAGCTCTGGGGAACACCGGGGTCCGGCCCGCCGCCCCGGCACCTCCAGCCCGGACGCCGTGTGTCCCCGCGTCCCCGCAGAGGGGTCGGGACAGACCTGCGGTGCGAATTTCCCGCACGGGGCCCTACTTGTCAGCTTGACCCTGTGCCACGGCAGAGAGCCACAGAACAACCCCTGCAGTAATCGTCCCCCTCGTGGACGTGCGTAATGAACACGTGCCCAGATTTCATCATCTCGTGAATCAAGAGGATGACGAGGGAAGGAACGCGAAGACCCGACACGGACGCAGAGAGTGTTTCAGGACCTAGAATTCCTAGATGTTAGGATGAGGTCGCTGAGTTAGATACAAAGTGGTTGATATCTTAAGGGACAAAATATCCTTTGGGTTATATTTTCTTCCTTGACAGAAATTATTTGCTTCTCTGCTGGCAAAGATCTTCAAGTTAACGTGTCATTTCCCTGGGGTGAGGCCTTTGAACACCAGTGAGCAGTGAGTGGGACCACGAGCGTTCTCCCCGAGGGCGGTGCCCTGCGCCCTCCTAGGGCTGGAAATGAGGCGCCAGCTCATTTTTCCTTATTTCCAGGTCTGGACGGTCACATCCTGTCCCTAGAGCTCGGCCGGCAACTGTGGTTTGGACGCTGACGACACGCGCTTCGGAGCCTGGGTTTGAGCTCCGGCTGTGCTAGCCGAGCGCTGTGACCCAGGGCAGGCTCCTAACCATTCTGTGCCTCGGGGTCCTGATCCGCGCGGGGTGGGGTGCGGGGAGGGCGGTCACAGAACCCTCCTTCTTGGGGAGTGCTTGTGGCCAGTGATCGCGTGGTCTGTGTCTTCCATCCTTTTACTTTCAACTTCTCTGTGACTTTACTCTTCGAGTAAGGCCTCTTAGGCCTCAGGCTTGGAGTTGGGTTGAGTTTTAGGCCAGCGTGACAATTTGGGTTTTGCTGGGGCGTTGAGTCACATTTAATGGACGTGAACGGACACTGGGCGTAGTGCTGCCATCTTGCCTGTTTGCTCTTTCTTCCACCTGTTCCTACTTAACTCTGTTAAAACTTTGACTTAGGTAATCTCTACATCCAACGTGGAGCCCCGACTCATGACCCCGAGATCAAGAGTCCCAAGTTCCTGCAACTGAGCCAGCCGCGTGCCCACATCCATACAGTGCTCGCCCCCCCCCCCATTAACTAGTTCCTGCACCTTCTTTCCTTAGGCCTTGAGCGATGGCCCCAGGGAAGTGCGTGGTGCGTATGGCATCAGCGCACACCCCCACCCTGCCCCCCGCGCTGGCAAGGCCCTGGGCCCCAGTGACAGGGGTTGGCAAATTTCCCTGCAAAGGGCTGCCCGATAAATAGGCTCTGTGGTCACATGACCTTTGTCGGGCCTCCTCGGCTCGGCCATTGTGACTGGAAGGCGCCCATAGACAGACACTGTGTGGGCAAGCAGCGTGGTGTGGCCAAACCGGCTTTTTCTTCACCAAACAGGCGACAGGTAGTTTCAGCTGCGGGCAGTGCTGACCCTGCCCCCCTGGGGGCCGCCCGGGGCCGCTCTCCCTCTTCCGCGACTTGGACCCTGGGGCGTTGAAGGCTTCCACTCCGCCTGTCACAGGGAGTCCACCAGCCACCTCAGTCCTTTATGCCCCCCACACCGTACACGGGCCCTCGCCTGACCGAACTCTCTTCCGCTGAGTGCTGCCGAGGCCACCCAGCTCCCGCTGCCGCCCTCGCAGAACGGCTTCCGTCACGGCGAGCGAGCGCTCCGATGTGTCCCCGGTGACAGTCAGCCGTTTGCAGATGGGCCTCGGTTACACTCGTTCCCCACAAAACCTCCCCCACCCGGGCACACGGGAATGAAGGGTCTTGGCTAAACTGAACTAGTAATGCAGAGATGGGGGGACGGAGGTGGTCAGAATTTGGAAAAAAGACTTGAGGGGTTTTTATTTTAAAGCGAGTAGGCTGTGACAGAGCCGGTTCCAGGAGAGGCGGGGTTCACGGAGGGGGAGGGCCAGGGGGTGTGTCTCGGAGTTCCCCCAGGAGGAAACATTTCAGGACCTGGTGTCATGTTGCCAGCTGTGCGGGGTGGGTCAGCTCCTGGTGTGACAACGCCAGCTGCTGTGCTGAGTCCGAGCAAGGGAAAGAATGAGTACAGTTAATTTTGCAATTAGGTCACTGTGTCCTTTGAGCGTGGTGGCCATGAAGTGGCCTGTGTTCAAGCCACATAAAAAGCAGCTAAGTAGCAAACTGGAACCAGAAAGTTGGGGCATCTACTTAAGCATATTGACTTATTAACAAATAGGTTTTTTAATTGAGAAAGTAATACATGAAAATACTTAGCCAAGATGAGCCTCGCATCTAGAGCTTTATGCTGAACACGTTGCTTCCTACCCATAGTCATAACGGGTTTGTAAGTTACAGAAATAGAAAACAAGAAGATACAGCAGGGCTAGAAAATAGCAACGTTACTGGACCAGGAGCAGGTCAAGGTGGTGCCAGTGGGCTGGCCTCTGGGGCTGGAAGTGGGCCCTGGAGTGGGGGATGGGCTCACCCCAGGAGCCGGCCAGGCCTCCCTGGGGAGCGGCAGGCTGAACAAAACTAGCCACACACCCTGGTGCCGCCTACGGCATTTGAACCGGGTGGGGGCTCAGGAGCCTGAAGACCCAAGCTGAAGACCGAGAACGAGTCCCCCCGCCTGCAGACCCCAGATCTGACGCGTCACCCTAGTACCCATGTGAGGAGCAGACGGTGTGGAAGCAGCAGGGAGGGGTGAGGAGGCGGAGCGCAGGGGCAAGGGCCAGGGTCCCCCGCCCACTTACACTGTGCCCGCAAACCTAGATTCCAAGACCTGTGAAGACAGTTAACAAATCAAACAAAACAGTTTTTTCTTCTTAGATACCTTTTTATTAAAAAAAATTTTTAAAATAAGTTTATTCATTTTTGAGAGCGAGTGAGAGAGAACAAGTGGGGAAGGGGCAGAGAGACAGGGAGACCCAGAGTCCGAAGCAGCTCCAGGCTCTGCACTGTCAGCAGAGCCCGACGCGGGGCTCGAGCTCACGAACCGGGAGATCACGACCTGAGCTGATGTTGGAGGCTCAACCGAGCCCCCGGGCGCCCTCCTCAGATAACTTAAAGTAAGAAAACAAAACAGGCATAAATGAAATAATCACGGATAGAACACAGGACCAATGAGAAACCTTCACAATAAAAACTAAAGTCATTGGGGCGCCTGGGGGGCTCAGTCGGTTACGCGTCCGACTTCGGCTCAGGTCATGATCTCGCGGGTCGTGGGTTCGAGCCCCGCGTCGGGCTCTGTGCTGACAGCTCGGAGCCTGGAGCCTGTTTCAGTCTGTGTCTCCCTCTCTCTCTGCCCCTCCCCCGCTCGTGTTCTGTCTGTCTCTCTCTCTGAAAAAAAAAAAAAGTTAAAAAAAATAAAGTCATTGAAATAATACCTCAAACTGTTAGAAACAAAACCAGCTCCAAGACAAAACTAATAAAGGCCGTTTAGCCGTAAACTTGGGCGAAGTAGCCCTGCTGAGGTCCCCGCTGTCTTCCCGGAGTTCAAGGGTCCTAGAGAGGAAGTTTCCCAGGTAACCGGCCGGCGCCCCAGGAGGTGGGGCTCGGGAGGGGCCCTGCCCGAGGGCTGCGCGGGGCTGCGGGTGCCGGGGGCCCCGGGTCAGGGCCGCGTGGCCTCGCCGCCGCGCGAGCCCCCGGGGCTCGGAGAGGAACCCCTGAGGAGCCCGGCCGCGCGGGGGCCGCCCCAGTGCACAGCCGGTTGTCGCTGTGTCTTCTCGCCGGGTTTGTGCGGTAAGAACACAGCATGTCATGCACACGGCCCACAAAGCACGTGCTAACGTCGGTCACCAGCAGGCAACCGTGTCACCCCACGGTCGACGGCACGCTAGACTCCGGGCCCCGTGTCCGGCCCGAGGCGCGGGAAGGGCGGAGAGCAGACGTCCCCGTACAGACGAGAACGAGGCGGCAAAGCAGAGGCCCGGGACTCGGCTGTTGAGCGGCCCGCTCGGGGGCCGTGACGGAACCCCCGCGAACAGCGGGCTCGCGGCACCTCCCCATCCGGGGGCGCGGGGCACACGCGGCGGAGGCGGCGGAACGGGCAGCGCGGCGCCGCGTGCGCACGCGCCCAGCGCTCGGGGCGGGGCCGCGGGGCCGCGCTGCTTCCGCAGGCGCGCCGGCCGCGCGGGGACGCCGTCGGGCCCCGGCGCGTGGGGGGCGGAGCCTCGGGACGCCACAGCCTCCGCTCGCGCCCGCGCCGCGCGGTGACGTCATCAGGCCCGGACGCGCGACGGGACCTCGCGGCGCCGCCGCCTTCTGCGCCCGGCCTTCGCCGCACGCCGTCGTCATCCGGCGCCGACGCGCGGTGACGCCATCGGGCCGCGACGCGCCGGGGGCGGGGAAGGACGGGCGGGCGGTGCCTCGGCCGGGTTGGAGCTGAGGGGAGAGGGCGGGGACAGCTGAGGTGGAGCCCGGGAGGGGCGGGAAGGTGGCGGCCGCAGGATGGCGGACCAGATCCCTCTGTACCCGGTGCGCAGCGCCACGGCCAGCCGCAAACGCGCGGCCTACTACAGCGCGGCGGGGCCCGGGCCGGGGGCCGAGCGGCCCAGCAGGTAACGACGGGGCGGGCCTCCCGCTCCCCGCGGCGCCCCTCCCCACCCCCGCGGCCTGACCGGCTGGGGGCCCCGTGCAGGTGCGGCCCGTCCCCGGGTCCCCGGCCGGTCTGCCCCTCCCGCAGGCCGCGCACGGTGTTGCCGACTCCGGCGCGCCGGGACCCTGGGAGGGCGCCCGCCCGGCGGGGAGGCCCCGGGCCGCGCTGCCAGGCCCCGGGCCCCGATCCCGGTGTCCTGGGCGCCCGTCGCAAGCGGAAGGGAGTCTCGGCTGCGCCAGGCGGGACGTCGCGCGGACGCGGGTGTCCGAACCCCGCGCGTTCCTGTAGACACTGCGGGCGTGACCCGCGCAACTTGCACTTAGAGTCACAAAAACGGACCTTCGTGGACGAGTGCAGAGTCTCACAAATATGAGACGCTTCAGTTTATTTGCAAACTACACTTGTTCCTTAATCATGGGTTTCCCAAGTATTTTTTTGTTGACAAGAATTTTTGCTTTAGCGTCGGGAAACGAAGTCCGGAAGGCAGGTCGGTTAACGGGGACCACAGTTTAGTGGTAGATTAAAAACGTACCACCTTTCATTTTAGAATGGCAGTCTCATACCCTAGTTGGTTTTAGCTCGTGTGTGTTTCTCACCGAAAGAAAAGAATAGTGCATTTAATAAATGGTAGAGTTATTAGCAAAAGAAACTCATGAAAAGAAATACTGTTCCCTGCAGTTAGTGGTAACTTTATACCTGAGGAATTTTAGAAGCAATTAACTTTTAATACACAAGAGGGAAAAAACTACCTATTTCAATATCCAGTTGCTTCAGGATTCGGGTTTTAGAGCAGTTTTTGTTGCAGGCTGTTTGGGAGGCTGTAATATATAGTCGAAGAATGTATATTCTAATGTTACAGAGCTGAATTGATTCTCTCTTCGTTTATTTATTTCTGTTTGATCTTACTTAAACTGAACCCCCATTTCCTGGGATGTAAAGTGGGGGTTACTGTTTCTTCCTGTGGGATGGCGGAGGGTTACAGGAGAACCTAAAAGGTGCCTGTGTTAGGTGTTTATACCATTTCTCTTTTACTGCCTGATATTACCTGCAAGATTAATTGCAGTAGTAATTGAGTGGTTGATTTTAGAAGGTCATCATTTGAAAATCACAGATTTCCATCAGGGTTTGCATCTCCGTTTTTGCTTCAGTTTTGGAGGCTCTGTCATTTGGTGTGTAGGTATTTAGGCTCCTTTTGTCTTCTGGTGGATTGTTTCTTTTATTGCGAAATGTTCTTTGTCTCTGGTAATTTTCTTTGCTCTGAAGTTTAATTCTGCTATATTGTGGTTTAACGTTTGCATGGTGTTTGCTTTCAACCTAAGTTGAATTTGAAAGGAGTTTCAAATTCTTTGTTGGATCCTGGTTTTCCATTATGCACTCTCAGTCTGTGTCTTTGGATTGGTGTATTTAAACCCTTTACCTTTAAGTTAACTATTGCTACATTAGAGCTTAGGTGCTATTTTATTATCTATTTTCTGTGTCTTCTGATTCTCATTCCTCTTCTGTTTCTTGTCTTGCCCTCCTTTAGGTTACTTGAACTTCCCTTGGATATCGCCCCAGTGTTTTTGAGTAGGTCTTTGAATGTTACGGTGTTCGCCCTGTTGGGTGTTGCGGTGTACGTACGGGGTGACTTATCGTCGAGGTATGTTGGAGTGAAGTCTGCAAACCTTACTTGCATCTGTCCTTTTTACCCATCTTCTCCCCTCACACTTTACGTATCACTTTTTGTTTAAGTCATCAAATACAATTTATAAAACTCTTGGTTATAAGGATAGTTTATTGTATGTGCTCATGTTTTTGATCATTCTGTTATTATTCATGTTATTTTGCTCAGTTCCTTCCTGGTAGTCCAGGATTCACTCCCCCTCCCACCCATTCTTTTCTATTTGAGAAAATTAGTGCAGCCAATCTTGAAACTTCTTTCATCTTAGAATATTTTTATTACCCCTTCACTCCTGCAGGGTAGATTTGTTGGATATAGAATTCCTGGTTGACAGTTTTTTTTCTTAGCACTTGAAAACTCTTGTTCCACGCCGGCTAGCCTTCGTGACTTCTGCGGAAGTTCACTACCACGCGAATTGGTGCCCCCTACGGCTAACGTGTCATTTATGTCTGGCTGCATTCAAGTTTTATTTGTCTTTTATTTTCACAAATTTAACTGTGATGTATCTTGTGGATTTCCTTGAGTTTATCTTGGTTGATATTTAGTAAGCATTTTTTTTTAAATGTTTTATTTATTTCTAGGAGAGAGAGAGAGGGAGAGACAGCGTGAACAGGGGAGGGTCAGAGAGAGAGGGAGTCACAGACTGAAACAGGCTCCAGGCTCTGAGCTGACAGTCAGCACAGAGCCCGATGCGGGGCTCGAACCCACGAACCGCGAGATCATGACCTAAGCGAAAGTCGGACGCTTAACCGACTAAGCCACCCAGGCGCCCCTATAATTCCTATTTGTTTGAAGGGTTTGTAGTTGATCGTTGAAGTACTTTTATGTTTGCTGCTTAAAATGATTGTCACGTAAGCTTTGGTATGAATTGTTTTTGCTAAGTCACACTTTGGGTGTTCTGGTTCTTGTATGACTGATGGGTTTTGATTTTATCCCAGACATTTTGTCTGTTATGTTTGGCGCATGTGGGGGTCCTGTTGTGTCTTTTTCTTTAGCAGGTGATCAGCCTGTTTAGATTTAGTGTGTAGGTCCTGGCCTACATTTATGGGCTGTGATTCCAATGGCAGTTTACTTTCGTGCTGTGATTTTTGGCATCCTCGCTTTACGTGGTCTAATGGGACTCCTACCCCCTGCTTGTGCTGCTGAGAGGAAGGAGGGGTTTCCCCAGACACCCCCCCCCCCCCCCAGTCTCTTGGCGAGAGGAGGCTTGGCTGGCTGGACGGGGCTTGTGGCCATGCCCGCTCCGCGTGTGCCTGCTGGCGGTTCTGGTGCCCCCAGTTAGAAGAGTCTGAGCACAGCCGTGGCCAGATCTTCCAGCTGGGGCCCCCGGCCGCTCTGGCCTCTGGTGGCACAGGAGGGGCCCAGCCCTGCAGAGAAGCCCCTTCCTGGACTGGCCTCTGCTGAAGTGAGATTGCAGTTGGTGCTGCCTGGTCGTCCTCTTGGTGAGAGAGGGGAGTCTCCGGCCCCTGCGGACACGGGGGCTTTGAGGCTTCTAGGGCTCTCCCACCTGGGGCAGATGCGCCGGTGTCCCCTGATGGGACAGGAGGTCTCAGGGCCATGGGGAAGGACGCTGGGTCTCACAGGCCCTTGTTGATCTGCTGCTGCTGCTGGTTGTTCCCCTCCAGAGGAGGAATGACCTTGGGCTGCCTTTTCTTCCTTGGTTGGGAGTTGGGGCCGCCAGGCCTGTGGCTCTCCTTCTGTTGGGTGGGGGCACGGAAGATGTCCTGCCCCCGTGTCCTTTCTCCCGGCCTCCGTCCCAGAGTGGCCAGCTCTCTTCCTCTCAACTGCTGCCTTTTTACCACCTTCCAGGGCTCCCCTTTGCTTGGCTCCTTATTTCCAAAGTTCTTAGGTGGACTTGGTGGGAGGAGCAGGGAGAGAAGCGTTGTGACTGGAAGTTGTGCTTTTACGTTGTTTTGTGAAGTGTGGGTACGTTTTTCATAGGAGCATATGTGCACATTTAAAAAGCTAAGTGGTGAAACGCCTAGAAGATAATGTGCTCTGTGCTCTGCTGATCCCTCTCTCTGCACTGCAGCCTTTCACCCCTGAGGCAGTTATTTCGGATTCTTCTGGCATTGAAAATCTCCATTTTCAGCAGCTGTGTGCCTGACTTTGTCAACACCTGAGGTTTCTTTTGAAGCCTTGTGTGTCTGCCCCGCAGCCAGAATGGAATGAAAGGCCCTGCTGCTCCGTAGCCTCTGGTTCGCTCGTGGCACACTCTGGACTTGACTGTAAATGTTCACCTCCCTTGAATGGATGGCGGCGACCGTCAGACTTTACCCCGATACCTAGCCTTACGGGTTGGGAAGTGTTCCCTTCTCTTCTGCTTTCTGGAAGACATTGTATAGTTGGTGTTGACTTCTTTAAATGTTTGGTAGAATTTTCCAGTGGAACCATCTGGGCTTACAAATTGCTTTTCTAGGTGTTTCAATTTACAGACTCGGTTTCCAGGCTGTTCACGTGAGCTGTGTCATGTCGGGTGAGTTGTGACTGTGCCGTATGAGGAATTGGTCCATTTCAGAAAAGTCACCATATTTGTGTGTATAGAGCTGTTCGTCGTGTTCTCTTCGTGTCTGTCTGAGGCTTCATTCAGATGGTGGTGGTTTGTGCTTCACTCCTTTTGGTTGGTCAGTCTTGATAGAGATGTGAGCTTTTGAAAGAGCCAGCTTTTGCTTTCCTTATTTTTTCTGTAGTTTTCTATTTCATTAATTTCTGTGTTTTATTTTTTCCTTCCTTTTGACTGTTTTAGGTTTTCTCATCTCATTCTTGTTTCTTAAGCTGAGAGTTTCGTTTATTGATTGGAGACTCTCCTTTTAAAAAAATTTCTTTTAAAGTTTATTTATTTTGAGAGAGAGAGAGAGAGAGAGAGAATGACTGCGGGGGCGGGGGGAGGGGGTCAGAGAGAGAAGAAGAGAGAGAATCCCAAACAAGCTCTGAGCTGTGAGTGACATGGGGCTCAAACCCACAAACCTTGAGATGATGACCTGAGCCGAAACCAAGTCAGATGCGTAGCTGACTGAGCCACCCAGGTGCCCCCAGGCTTGCTTTTGATTGTTTGCTTGGTATATAATTTTCCATCATTTTACTTCCGACCTACTTATATTTGAGGTCAATTTCTTGTAGTCAGCAAATGGTTGGATTATACTTTTTATCCACTCTGCCAATGTCTGTCTTACGATTGATGTATTCAGACATTTATGTTCACTATAATGATTGATAAGTTAGGGCTTATATCTGGGGTGCCTGGGTGGCTCAGTCGGTTAAGTGTCCGACTTCAGCTCAGGTAATGATCTCGTGGTTCGTGG